AATCTGCACTTTTTGTGTTTCCCTTGTCTGATTTTGTATATAGTTGATTTTGCTTCTTTTGTTTTATTTTAATTTCATACTTGCTTGGTACTTAGTTGGTTTACAACCTTTACTATGGGTTTATTTTCACTGATGAAAGCTGTTTAGTCTTATGGTCATTTCCATCTAGAGCTGTCACTTTAACATATCCTGTAGGGCTGGTTTAGTGGTGGTGAATTCCTTCAACTTTTGTTTATCTGGGATTGTTTAATACGTGCTTGAAATTTAAATGATAATCTTGCTGTGCCAAGTAGAGGGTTCTTGGTTGGCGGTCCTTCTGTTTCAGTACAGTAAATATATCCTGCCATTCCTTTTTGGCCTGTAGAGTTTTCTGTTGAGAAGTCTGCTGATAGCCTGTTGGGATTTCCTCTACAAGTAATATTTTTTCTCTCTCTGGCTGCTTTCAACACTCTCTCCTTGTCCTTGATCTTTGCCATTTTAATTATCATATGTCTTGGCATTGTCTTCCTGGGGTTCCTTTTGTTAGAGGATCTCTGTGCTTCCATGACCTGAGTGCCTGTTTACTTTCCCAGCCAGACACACAGCACTGGGCTTGGACACCTGCAGGGAGGAAGGAGCTCTCGGGGCCTGGCTCCCAAGGCACCTCCCCGTTGGGCTGAAATAGAGCCAAGGAAGCTGGGAGAGTGTCTCTCCGCCTGCCAGGCAGCAAAGTCTGACACTGCCACTGGTCCAAGTGGGTTGGCTCCCAGCAGTGTGTGCAGGAAGGGAACTTAGGGTTGTGTTGCCAGCAAGGGGGATGGATGGTCTGGGGCTCCTGAGAGTTCCCGATCTGTTGGGCCAAAGAAGGGCTGGGGAGGTATCATCCACCTGCCCTTTCTCCTGAGTAGAAAGTTCCATCCAACCCTCACACCTCTGGTACCCCTCCCACTGCTGACAAGTCTTTCAAATTGCCACCTGTGCTCTGGGTCTCAGGAATGGCGGAGCGTGCCTGCCCTGCACACTGGCTGGAGTCTCAGCCTCCCAGAGTGTTCCACCTGCCCCTGGTGTCCAGGCCCTCTACTCACCAGAACCCAGTGTAATGTGGGCCTGTGATCCCAGGGCAGATGTCCAGTGCCAGGTGTGCAGTGCTCCTGGGATCCTAGTCTCTTCCCTGTCCATTCCTCTTTCTCCTGCCTGTTGGAGGAGACATTACTGGTGGGGGGAGGGCTTGGGTCCCACTCAGTCATGGCTCTGCCACTTTACCCTTTTCTGTGTTGTCTTCTCTTCTTCCTCTGGTGCAGGTGGTCTGTTCTGCAGTCTTCAGGTCATTTTCAGGTTTAGTTTTATTTGCTATATTTTCTTCTTTTATGTGTTTTTTGGAGGAGGTTTCTGCCTTGACTTCCTATTTTGCCATCTTTAATCCAATCTGCTGCACCTTGCTTTTTGCTTCACAAAGTATCTCAAAAGTCTAAATTATAACTGGTATATTATTCTTTTGCACAGCTGTGTAATATTCCTTGCTGAGAATGGCCACAGTTTATTCAGCAACCCCCCTGTGGTTATCTGTACCCAAGAGGTGAAGGGGAAGGCCAGTTTTGCTTCTGCTGGAGCAGGAAAGAGAGATGAGATGGCCCAGGACTGCAGCTTGTGAGCAATAAAAGGATTTTAAACTTTATTTCTCCCTTTGACTGATACCAGTTTTAGAGGTATTTTGCCCCAGGATTTCCTCCCCCCCTACTTACTCTTACATTCAGGTCTTTTATCCATTTCAAAGTTACTTTTGTAGAACACTCTATATTTAGTTGCTGATTGCTCTATTTCAAACACAATCTAAAGGTACTTTTTTTCCTCTTCCCCCTCCTCATTTTCATATTAGATGTCACAATCTGCACCTTTTGTGTATCTCTTGACTTATTTTATGTATAGTTGATTTTGCTTCTTCTTTTTTTTTTTTTTTAATTTCGTACTTGCTTGGTAATTAGTTGGTCTACTACCTTTAGTGTGGGTTTATTTTCACTGATGAAAACTATTTAGCCTTAGGGTCATTTCCATCTACAGCAGTCCCTTTAACATATCCTGTCATGCTGGTTTAGTTGTTATTAATTCTTTGAACCTTAGTTATCTAGAAATTGTTTTAAGTCCTCCTTCAAAGTTAAAGGATAATCTTACTGGGTAGAGGATTCTTGGCTGGAGGTTCTTCCCTTCCAATACATTAAATATTTCATGTTACTCCCTTCTGGCCTATAAAGTTTCTACTGAAAGTCTGCTGATAGCCTAATGGGGTTTCCTTTAAAAGTGATGTTTTTTCTCTCTCTGGCTGCTTTCAATACTCTTTGTCCTTAATTTTTGCCATTTTCGTTATTATATGTCTTGGTGTTGTCTTCCTGGGGTTCCTATTGTTAGGGGCACTCGGCATGTCCATGACCTGAGTGTCTATTTCCTTCCGCAGATTGATGAGATTTTTAAAAAATTCATTTCCAGTTGTTAGTATGTAAGAATTCAACTGAATTTTATGTATTAAATTTTTAATGTGTGAACTTGTTAAATTCATTTATTAGTTCTTTTAGGTTCCCTTGGATTTTCTATATAAACAATCACATCATCTGCAGATTGGGACAGTTTACTTCCTCCTTCTAATCTTTATGGTTTTGTTCATTTTTCTGCTTTATTGCAATGCTATATGACCTCCAGAACACTGTTGACTAGAAGTGATGAGAATGGACATCCTTGCTTGTTTCCGTTCTCGGGAGGAATAATTCAGTCTTTCACATTGAGTATTTTATTATCTGTAGGTTTTCTGTAGACGCTCTGTATCAGTTTGAGGAAGTCACCATTTGCACCCAGCTTGATAAGAGTTTTTACGATGAATAGGTATTGACTTTTGTCAAATCTTTCCTGTATGCATTGAAATTATCATCAGGTTTTACCATACTTTGATGAATTTGCATTCTTCTTCTTATAAGTGAGACTGAGCATGTTCTTGGGGTTTAAGAGTCATTTGCAGTTCATTTTCTGTGATTCCTGGCTCACCTCCTGTTCAGTTATTAGAACTTTCTTATTGTTTTCTAGGAGTTGCTTCTGCAATGAAGACATTTTATTCATGATATGTTCATTATTTCTGGTTTCATTGCTTAATTTTTCGACTGTATTTATGGGCTTTTTGCCAGCAGAAAATTCGTGATGTTTGCGTCACTGGAGTTTCCAATTTGTTCTTAGGCAAGTTCTGCTCTCTGCCTCCCTAGAAGCTCCCCATGAAGTCTTCATGTGCCACTCTCTGGCTGAGGGTGCCACCTTTGTCCTGACCCTGTTTCCCTTCCTGTTCATTTTCAAAATACCACATTGACATTTACACTGGTATTGCCAGAAGCCTAGAAACTCATTGTCTTTCCTGGAGGGCAAGACCGTCTGTCTAAGAGCCAGAATGGGAGTACATGTTTGCATTTCTCTCTGCTAGAGTCACCCCGAAAACGAAAGAAAAATACCATGGCTAAGCCTCCAGCAGCACTTCCTGCCACAAGCCTGCTGCAGCTTCCACTGTGCTGAGCACACAACCCATCCTCTTCCCTCCACCCGTAAGACCCTGGTGATGCCTCCAACCAGGTCTTGGCACACTGTGTCCCTGCCATCCTGCCCTTCTCAGGAGCACTGTGACCATGGCTAACCTCCCAGCCTTTGCCTGGGCTGCTCCGCCTGCCAGAACACCCCTCACCTCCAGATCACTCTGGTTAATACCGCTTGTCTTTGGATTTTGTATCAAAGTCACTCCAGGAAGCCCTCCCAGCATCTTCTAGAAGCCTTGCCCTGAGAGCCACTGAAACAACTGGTAATAATTCGATTATAGTTTGTCAGCTCCACCAGGCAAAGACTGGGTCCATCCTGTCCCCTGCTGTGTCCCCACTGACATGCACATAGGAGGTGCCCAATAAGTGTGGGTGACTGAATCAAAGCCATTTTTGTGCCAGGACTGGTGATGGGATTAGAGATGAGAGTCTTCTAAAATCTATCCACAAAGCTTTGCTGTCTGGGATTTGTATCCTACTAAGGACACTCTCCTGGTGTCCCGCCTCCTCCACTCATGACAGCCTCGGGGGCATTAAACACTGATCAGTCAGACTGCGCTCCTGCTGACTGTCCTGCATCCTCTCTCTTCTTACCTCTTCCTGCCACATTAGCCTCCTCTCTGCTCCTCCAACTGCTCAGCTTATTCTCACCTCAGGATCTTTTCTCTTGCTGTGCTCTCCACCAGGAGCACTGTCTCCTGTTCTGCTTCAGATCTCAGCTCAATTAACTGGAGCCTCTGTGTAGAGGCCCCTCTGAGCCCTGACCTATGCCAGTCCTGGCACCCTGGTTTTCTTTGCTATCTGTAAAGATTCATTGCCTCCCCGCCAGACCAGAGGGTACGGTGAACCCTCAGGCAGGTAGGGTTGGGCTGGTTTGTTTCATTTTTAGGGCTAGGCACAGGGCATGATGCACAGAAGGGGGCTATTATTCCTCTTAGGGCCTCATGGGAGAACTACTCCCAGGAACTTGACCTTTGAGTGGGGCAACTTCCCAGCCTCCTTCCTGGGCAGGTCCACCAGATTCTTTTCCCTGGGTGCAAAATTAGTTCCACTGGGTGTGCAACCCATACATGCCACAGATGGGTAAACTGAGGCCCAAGGAGCCATGGAGTTGCCAGGACCGCAGTGAGAGTGACTCTGGAGCCTGCTGAGGCCCTCGGTGACGCAGCCCCTCTGTGTGCTGTCACCCTTTCCTTAGGTCTGGGGTCTGCAACACTTCTGCCTGAACAGGGCCCACTGCTGCAGAGGCTTCCGGAACTTTGTGCCCCTCCCGCCAGGCGCTCTTACCTCCCCGCCCCTGTCCCCACATGGCCATGATTTTCGGTAAATGACTGCAGCTCAGGAAGCCGAGGGGCCCACACAGGAAGGAGCCAAGTGGGACTTTCCTCCTGCTGACGCCTGTTTTCTGCCTACCCGTCGTTGGCCCAGGGTCCCCCACCCTCCAGGTAAGAGCTGGCGGGGCCACCTGGCTTAGTTGGTGGTTGGGGCTGTGTGCCTGGACCCTGTGGATGGGGGTGGATGTAGACAAAGGCAAGCTTGCCTTCAAGGCCTCTGAGGAAAGCTGCCAGACAGAGGTGAGCTGGGAAGGTGGGCTGTGTGGCCTCCGGCAGAGCACCCTCCTCTCCAGGTCTCTGTCCTGCCTAAAATGAGGCTTCAAATTCCCAGCCCTGGGCACCGGAGCGACTCATTGCGCATGTGCCCTGCCCGGAGCTCTCGGCCCCTAGAGGTTCCCAGCCTCCTCCCTCCCAGGCGCCAGGCCAGCGAATAGCCAAACTGTCTCCGGATGTGGGATTTTTGGTGTTAAGACAGGGGCATTTTCCTGGGCCCTGAATACCACCTCTAACTTTTTCTTTTTTCACTTTTCTGTATTTAAAAAATCCTGTTTCTTTAATTTAAATGAAAGATGCACTGTGTGATTCCATTTATGTAAAAGACAAAGTCAGATGAGATGAGGTTGATTGTTAGAAACAGGACAGTGGTCACCCCTGTGAGGAGTGACAGGGGCCCCAAGGGTCCTGGGGCTGAGAATATGCCAATTCTCATGTTCCCACTATGCCCTCCCTCCCAGAAGGTAACCGCCAAAGCACCATTCCAAGCACCCTTCCAGTCTGGTTTAGTTGGCATTGGTCAAGTGCTCACTGGGCAAGTCTCCAAGGATCCTGCCAATCGGTGTGGATTAGATGTGTGGCCACCTTGGGCTAGGCTGTGCAAACCACCTCACCCACAGCAAGGAGTCCACCCATTTTGCAGCTGAGAAAGTTGAGTCCCAGCAGCGGGAACCTGCCAGGATATGGTGGGGCTGGGATTGGAACCCAGAGCTGGGTCTTCACTTACCCTGCCCCAGGCTTATATTCTGGGTGTGTTAAACCCTCATCAGTGCTGCCCCCAGCCCCATTATTACTTTGGAACATAGTTTTTTTACCCAACATTCTCTGTATCTTATTCATTTGGGCCAGTTTAAGTGGATAACCCTCCTTCTTCCCCTTATCTTCACTGGATTCAAAGCTCCATCCCTCTCTGCCCAGCCAGAGCTCCTGAGCTCTGGGGTCCCCCACCAGTGAGAAAGCTGGAGGTAGGCAAGTGTCAAACACCTGGGAACAAGGGGGTGGTACCTCCTGGGCCTATCCCAGGAAAGGCCTTCTTGCTGGGCAGGCCTAAATAAAGGGTGTGATGAAGGGGACAGAGATGGTGGTGGGATGGGAGGGAGGCAGACACACAAGTACCTCTGAACTGAGTCATCAGTCTGGATCCGTCCCCAAGGTATGCATCACACTAGGTACAAAGGCTTCCAGCCCCAGCAACAACAGTACTTGAGACCCCCAGACCCACAGGAATTGACAGCCACTGGTTCCCCTTAACCCTCTATATGCACAAGCCAATACCCATCTGCTTCCTGGTTGGCAAATCTGTACGGCTGTAATTGATTGCTCACGCCTGCCTGGAGCAGGCGCTGGAAGTAGGGTATGTGTGGAGGCTGCAGATTGACTGGAAATGTCTGCTCTGGGCACTAATAAGAGTGTACATGCCCACAAATTAAAGTGCAAGAATATCTTCCAGCCCCCAACAGAGCCCTCATCTGGGGGTTTATGTCTCCTCACCCACCTTGCACATTCATGCCCCTCTGTCTCTTTCACTTTTTCTGTGTGTCTCTCCTCCCTCTTTCACTGTTTCTATCCCTTTCTCACCCAGCAGCATCCCTGCACCCTCAACCCCCAAAAGCTTTGTAGTCTTGTCCTCTTTGGCCTGAACTAAGGGCTCCCTCTCTTTCTGTTCTGACAGGCTACTCCCATGGCACCTCCAAGTGAGGAGACACCCCTGATCTCTCAGCGCTCCTGTAGCCTCTCATCTTCAGAGGCTGGTGCCCTCCATGTGCTGCTGCCCCCTCGGGGCCCTGGACCCCCACAGCGCCTATCCTTCTCTTTTGGGGACCACTCGGCTGAAGAGCTGTGTGTCTGGGCTGCTAAGGCCAGTGGTGAGTGGTTTCCTAGAAGACTGGATCTGAGGGAGTGGTAGGTAGTGGAATAGCTGCCAGGTGGAGTCTGCATCAGAGCTGGGGCCTTGAGGGATGAGTAGGAGTTTGGTAAGTGGGAAGGTGCACAAAGAATGGCATGTGCAAAGACTTAGAGGCACATGAGGGGAAACAGCTGGTCATCCCTTGAGATAAAATGTACACTGGAAGGAGGTGTTCTGGGAAAGGGGCAGGGAGCCCTGAGCAGCAGGTTTAGTGCATGGTCTCTCTCCTAAGGGCAGTGGGGAGCCCCTAAGTATGTATGAGCAGGGGTGGGACACAGTGTCAGAGCCAAAGGTGAGAAATAGCCCAGTGGGGGTGCATGGGGGTAACCATGGCATCCCTGCAGGAGACAGATGGGGACACCAGGGGAGGAGCTGATGGGTGTGTCCCCTCAGGCATCCTGCCCGTGTACCACTCCCTCTTTGCTCTGGCCACGGAGGACCTGTCCTGCTGGTTCCCCCCAAGCCACATCTTCTCCGTGGAGGACATGGGTACCCAGGTTCTTGTCTACAGGCTTCGGTAGGAATTCCCCTCAACCCCTACATGTGTGGGTTACATGATACCAGGAGGGGATACCTTATGCTGAGGGCTTAGGAAATGGGAGTTTAAAACAACAATGATCCGAAAATCTTACGATCTCCCTAGGGAGGGTGTGATCGTTGCTCACTTCACAGATGAGGAAACTGAGGCCAGAGAGGGTGTGTCACTTGCTCAAGGTGACACAGCAAGTTAATGATATAACCTGGGTTCTGTGAGGTCTTGGCACAGTCTTCCACCCCCACCCCCAAACCTCTGTTGCGGGGTTCTCCCTGTCCCCTCCACAGCTTTTGCTTCCCCAACTGGTTTGGGCTAGAGAAGTGCCACCGCTTTGGACTACGAAAGGACTTGGCCAGTGCCATCCTTGACTTGCCAGTCCTGGAGCACCTCTTTGCCCAGGTAATGTCTGTGAGAGGGTCATCCCAGGGCCAGGGTCTTCAGGGCCACATCAGGGCTCATGGTTGGGTGGCCTTGCCCAACCCTCCCTGTGGCAGCGCAGGGTTGGGGGTCAGCCCAGAGGGGGTCTGCAGGGCAACATCAGGGCTCACGGTTGGGCTGTGACCGGCCCCCAGCACCGCAACGACCTGGTGAGCGGCCGCTTCCCCGTGGGCCTCGGCCTCAAGGAGCAGGGTGAATGTCTCAGCCTGGCCGTGCTGGACTTGGCCCGGATGGCCCGTGAGCAGCCCCAGCGGCCCGAGAAGCTGCTGAAGACCGTCAGGTGAGGGCTTCCAGGCTGTGGTTTCCAGCCTCTACCTGAGAGTGAGCAAACAGGCTCCACCAGTGTCCCGCCTCCTGCAGCTGAAAGGCCTGTGTGTGTCCCTGTCTGTCCTGTAGGCACCAATGGCCCTCCCCACACTGAAGCCCTCCCACCATGTATGTCCCTGATAGTGTCTCCTGTGTGTGTTGCCCCACCGCATGCACCGAGGCCACACTCCAGACCCTCAACTAAAGCCAGCGTTTGTGTATGTCCCCATCCGCCCCTGCGGGGATCCTCCCCACACTGAGGACCTGCTCGCCCCACTCGCAGCTACAAGGTCTGCTTGCCCCCCGGCCTTCGAGACCTGATCCAGGGCCTGAGTTTCGTGACGCGGAAGCGTATCCGGAGGACCGTGGGCCGGGCCCTGCGCCGCGTGGCCGCCTGCCAGGCTGACAGGCACTCGCTCATGGCCAAGTACATCATGGACCTGGAGAGGCTGGAACCGGCCAGGGCCGCCGAGACCTTCGTCGTGGGCCTCCCCGGGGCTGGTGGAGGTCAGGGTGCACCCGGGCTGCTCCGCGTGGATGGTGGCAGCGGCGTGGCTTGGAGTCCAGGAGGACAGGAGGTGCGGGGTGCTGCTGGGCAGGGTGGGGCCTTAACGGCGGGGGCAGGAGAATAGGCGTGACTGAGGGGTGAGGCCAAGGGAGGGATCAGCGTGGGGCCGGCTGAGAGGGGGCTGGAAATGAAAGTGGGCGTGGCTGGTAGGACGGGGCCAATGGGGCGGGACCAACAGCTGGGTGGGCCGTGGGGGAGGGGAGGGGCCGGCTGAATGACAGGTGGGGATGAACGAGGGGGCGGGAAGGAAGTGGGCGGGGCGTATAGAGGACGGATGGACGGGCAGGGGCAGAGCTAACAAGGTCGAGGCGGGACTAAGGGGGCAGAACTTCGACTGCAACGAAAGAGGCAGGGCGGTGAAGTGATGCTCAAGGAAGGAACAGCCTAGAGAACAAGGTAAGGTTTGGCAAGGGTGGAGTGCGACGTGTTTGGGAATGGGCAGGGCGTGCGGACAGAGCGGGGATTGATGGAAGAGGTGGGGCTTGGCGGGGGCGGCGTGGGAAAGCGCTGGGCTGGGCGGGGCTGGGGGCGGGGCCCGTGGGAGGGTGTCGGTGGGCTCCCGGCTACCACGAAGGATTGGGGACTGTCAGAGGGCCTTAACCCTCCTCCCCCCGACTCCCACTTCCCAGGTCCTTCAACCCTTCTGCGACTTTCCAGAAATCGTGGATATCAGCATCAAGCAGGCCCTGCGCGCTGGCCCTGCCGGGGAGCACCGACTAGTCACCATCACCAGGACAGACAACCAGATTCTGGTGGATGCTGGACACCCTGCCTCCCTGTCTGACCCCGGGGGCGGGGACGCGGGACCGTCGCCCTGGGGCCGCAGAACGCGCTAACGCGGATCTTCACAGGAGGCCGAGTTCCCGGGGCTGCCCGCGGCCTTGTCTTTCGTGGCGCTGGTGGACGGCTACTTCCGACTGACCACCGACTCCCGGCACTACTTCTGCAAGGAGGTCGCCCCACCACGGCTGCTGGAGGAGGTGGTGGAACAGTGCCACGGCCCCATCACGTAAGGGCCCGCCCCCCCATGCCCTCCCTCTGCGGCCAGACCCACCAGGGTCCCAACTCCAGTCTCTCCCCTTCTGGGAATCTCAGAGTCCTGGCCTCCCAGGAACCCTGGGCAGAAACAGCCCATGGTGCATGGTGGCCACTAAATGAGGCTGGGGCCATCTGTCTGCTGCCTACGGCAGCGGCTTCCCTGGCTTCCCTCTCTGAGTCCTCGGGGACCCCAGGGTCACTTCCTGGGGATGGAGTGGTGCCTGGCTTCACTTGCAGCCTCTTCTTTAAACCAAAAAAACCCCCAAACAAACCCGTACTTTGGGTTTAATTTATTGAAGGGAAGGAGAAAGACAATGCTACCTGGTCCCAAGGTTTACAGAGACCAAAATTATAATCCAGGTCTAGCTTGGTTTCTCTGCTTCCATCTCTCTGTCTTTGTCTTTGACACTCGGTTTCTTTACACTTCACCACAGCCTGGATTTTGCCATCAACAAGCTCAAGACTGGGGGCTCACTTCCCGGCTCCTATGTTCTCCGCCGTAGCCCCCAGGATTTTGACAGTTTCCTGCTCACTGTCTGTGTCCAGGTTGGTCCACCACTGGGAACCAGGAGGGCAGGCAGGGCTGCTTGGAGGAGGTGACATTTGAGCTGAGCCCTGGAAAATGAGTTGGCATTTGCTTCCTGAGGAACGGGAGGGAAAGGCATCCCCAGTGGTAGGAACAGTGTATGCAAAGGCTTGGAGATTGGAGTGAGGCTATAATGCTCGAGGAAGGAGTAAGCAGGAGGGTGCTGACTACTCCCACTCAAGGACCACTCCTTGCAGACCCCTCTAGGCCCTGATTACAAGGGCTGCCTCATCCAGCGCGACCCCTCAGGAACCTTCTCCCTGGCTGGCCTTGGCCGTCCCCACAGCAGTCTTCGAGAGCTCCTGACAGCCTGCTGGGATGGTGGGCTGCATGTGGATGGGGTTGCACTGAACCTCACCTTCTGCTGCACTCCCAGACCCAAAGGTGAGCCTGCCCTCTTCCCTGAGCTGAGTGACTGCTCTGGGGCCCCACCCTCCTGTGTCTGTCACAGCTCTTGTATGGCAAGTGGCAGAGATTGCAGGTCAGGGGGGTTTAGAGAAGAAAAGGTGATGTTTTGGCTCATGGGATAGGGCCACTTTCAGGTACAGCTAGATCCAGGCACGTCTAGATCTGTACAATGTCACTACCACTTAATCTCTATCTCTTGCCTCTCCCTCTGGGTCAACTCAAAACAAACGCCTCAGCTAGGATGGCTCTGAAGTGTGAGTTCTTCAGAGTCTCCCAGAGTCATTAATAGGACTGAGACCAGGTTGCCCACAGTGTTGCCTATTCATTGGCACCCTCTGCAGGTTCCTTCCCTTCCTGTCTCACTCCCCCACCCCAAAACGGGGCTTCCTGGAGTCTCCTTTTGAATAAACTAGGTGCCCTGGAATCCTCATCTTCTGGGGTACACCCACACTAAGGCAATGAGCAAACCATTAAGGACCTTTTACCTCTGACCTCAGGTTTTCTCCCTCCACCTCTTCCCTGTAGAAAAGTCCAACCTGATTGTGGTCCGGAGGGGTTGCAGCTTGCCCACATCATCCCCTGTTCAGCCCCAATCCCAATGCCAGCTGAGTCAGATGACATTTCACAAGATCCCCACCGACAGCCTGGAGTGGGTAAGGGGTCCCAGGAGATGGGGGGATGACTCATTGGGATGTGGAGATCGGATCTACATCCACCTTTGCTGTGTGGCCTTTCTGAATGACAGGTGGGGATGAACGAGGGGGCGGGAAGGAAGTGGGCGGGGCGTATAGAGGACGGATGGACGGGCAGGGGCAGAGCTAACAAGGTCGAGGCGGGACTAAGGGGGCAGAACTTCGACTGCATCGAAAGAGGCAGGGCGGTGAAGTGATGCTCAAGGAAGGAACAGCCTAGAGAACAAGGTAAGGTTTGGCAAGGGTGGAGTGCGACGTGTTTGGGAATGGGCAGGGCGTGCGGACAGAGCGGGGATTGATGGAAGAGGTGGGGCTTGGCGGGGGCGGCGTGGGAAAGCGCTGGGCTGGGCGGGGCTGGGGTCGGGGCCCGTGGGAGGGTGTCGGTGGGCTCCCGGCTACCACGAAGGATTGGGGACTGTCAGAGGGCCTTAACCCTCCTCCCCCCGACTCCCACTTCCCAGGTCCTTCAACCCTTCTGCGACTTTCCAGAAATCGTGGATATCAGCATCAAGCAGGCCCTGCGCGCTGGCCCTGCCGGGGAGCACCGACTAGTCACCATCACCAGGACAGACAACCAGATTCTGGTGGATGCTGGACACCCTGCCTCCCTGTCTGACCCCGGGGGCGGGGACGCGGGACCGTCGCCCTGGGGCCGCAGAACGCGCTAACGCGGATCTTCACAGGAGGCCGAGTTCCCGGGGCTGCCCGCGGCCTTGTCTTTCGTGGCGCTGGTGGACGGCTACTTCCGACTGACCACCGACTCCCGGCACTACTTCTGCAAGGAGGTCGCCCCACCACGGCTGCTGGAGGAGGTGGTGGAACAGTGCCACGGCCCCATCACGTAAGGGCCCGCCCCCCCATGCCCTCCCTCTGCGGCCAGACCCACCAGGGTCCCAACTCCAGTCTCTCCCCTTCTGGGAATCTCAGAGTCCTGGCCTCCCAGGAACCCTGGGCAGAAACAGCCCATGGTGCATGGTGGCCACTAAATGAGGCTGGGGCCATCTGTCTGCTGCCTACGGCAGCGGCTTCCCTGGCTTCCCTCTCTGAGTCCTCGGGGACCCCAGGGTCACTTCCTGGGGATGGAGTGGTGCCTGGCCTCACTTGCAGCCTCTTCTTTAAACCAAAAAAACCCCCAAACAAACCCGTACTTTGGGTTTAATTTATTGAAGGGAAGGAGCAAGACAATGCTACCTGGTCCCAAGGTTTACAGAGACCAAAATTATAATCCAGGTCTAGCTTGGTTTCTCTGCTTCCATCTCTCTGTCTTTGTCTTTGACACTCGGTTTCTTTACACTTCACCACAGCCTGGATTTTGCCATCAACAAGCTCAAGACTGGGGGCTCACTTCCCGGCTCCTATGTTCTCCGCCGTAGCCCCCAGGATTTTGACAGTTTCCTGCTCACTGTCTGTGTCCAGGTTGGTCCACCACTGGGAACCAGGAGGGCAGGCAGGGCTGCTTGGAGGAGGTGACATTTGAGCTGAGCCCTGGAAAATGAGTTGGCATTTGCTTCCTGAGGAACGGGAGGGAAAGGCATCCCCAATGGTAGGAACAGTGTATGCAAAGGCTTGGAGATTGGAGTGAGGCTATAATGCTCGAGGAAGGAGTAAGCAGGAGGGTGCTGACTACTCCCACTCAAGGACCACTCCTTGCAGACCCCTCTAGGCCCTGATTACAAGGGCTGCCTCATCCAGCGCGACCCCTCAGGAACCTTCTCCCTGGCTGGCCTTGGCCGTCCCCACAGCAGTCTTCGAGAGCTCCTGACAGCCTGCTGGGATGGTGGGCTGCATGTGGATGGGGTTGCACTGAACCTCACCTTCTGCTGCACTCCCAGACCCAAAGGTGAGCCTGCCCTCTTCCCTGAGCTGAGTGACTGCTCTGGGGCCCCACCCTCCTGTGTCTGTCACAGCTCTTGTATGGCAAGTGGCAGAGATTGCAGGTCAGGGGGGTTTAGAGAAGAAAAGGTGATGTTTTGGCTCATGGGATAGGGCCACTTTCAGGTACAGCTAGATCCAGGCACGTCTAGATCTGTACAATGTCACTACCACTTAATCTCTATCTCTTGCCTCTCCCTCTGGGTCAACTCAAAACAAACGCCTCAGCTAGGATGGCTCTGAAGTGTGAGTTCTTCAGAGTCTCCCAGAGTCATTAATAGGACTGAGACCAGGTTGCCCACAGTGTTGCCTATTCATTGGCACCCTCTGCAGGTTCCTTCCCTTCCTGTCTCACTCCCCCACCCCAAAACGGGGCTTCCTGGAGTCTCCTTTTGAATAAACTAGGTGCCCTGGAATCCTCTTCTGGGGTACACCCACACTAAGGGAATGAGCAAACCATTAAGGACCTTTTACCTCTGACCTCAGGTTTTCTCCCTCCACCTCTTCCCTGTAGAAAAGTCCAACCTGATTGTGGTCCGGAGGGGTTGCAGCTTGCCCACATCATCCCCTGTTCAGCCCCAACCACAATGCCAGCTGAGTCAGATGACATTTCACAAGATCCCCACCGACAGCCTGGAGTGGGTAAGGGGTCCCAGGAGATGGGGGGATGACTCATTGGGATGTGGAGATCGGATCTACATCCACCTTTGCTGTGTGGCCTTAGGAATGTGACATAGCCTCTCTGTGCCTCTGTCTCACTATATGTAAAATGGGGCCAGTGCCTGTACCTTGCTCAGGCCAGAGATGGGGGCCAGGATCCCATGAGAGCCCACTTACTGTTGCCCCTCACCCTTCAGTATGAGAACCTGGGACATGGATCCTTCACCAAGATTTACCGGGGCTGTCGCCATGAGGCCGTGGATGGAGAAGCCTGGGAGACAGAGGTGCTGCTCAAAGTGATGGATGCCAAGCATAAAAACTGCATGGAGGTGAGCAGAGTAGGGACCAGGCCTGGGTCAAGGCTGGCTGGAGAGAAGGTCATAGATTCAGAAGAATGTTAAAGCAGCAGAAATGTAACCACAGCATCTCCAAATCATGGAATATGGAAGGGTTGGAGAATTTAGATGCAAACAGAAAAAGTACATCAGACAGAAAGAACAGCCAGTGCCTAGGTCCTGAGGCAGGGCTGAGCCTGGCATGTTTAAGGAACAGTGAGGAAGACAGTGGCTGGAGAGGAGCAAGCAAAGGGGAAGAGGGGAACAGTGTGGATGGAGGCATCAGCAGGGCCTGGGCCACACAGAGGAAGGCTTGAGCCCTTTTCAAATCTAAATCTCCCACTTCTGCATGAGAGACTCAAGGTAGACTACAGTGAGGACTTCCAGCCCACACCCGATTGTCATGATAAAGAGTGCTGTGTGCATTAATGGCAGATTCCAGGGCCAAAGGAGGCAGGCTTGTGAGAAACAAGTTTGGGGTCCTTTGACTGAACCCTGGAGTGGGGGAACCCCTGCATCTTATCTCCCTTCTCCCCTCCCCAGTCATTCCTGGAAGCAGCAAGCTTGATGAGCCAAGTGTCATACCAACATCTTGTGCTGCTCCACGGCGTGTGCATGGCTGGAGACAGTGAGAGACACCCCTGGCCCAGCCTCTGTCCTGCCACCTTGAGCCTGTCTACAGCAGCATTAGCAGTGCACATGCAGAGCCTGCCCTGGCTGGGGTCCTGTGTCCACTAGCATCCATCACCCTGTACCCATGTCCCTCAGTTGTCAGTCCTTGGGCAGCAGCTCCAGGCTTCCAGCAATACTCAGCTCCCCAGAACTATTTCAGATCAAACAGATCTGGGTTCTGATCTCACTTAGCTGTGTACCACCTCTGCAGCTTTGCAAGGGCCACGTTACCTTTCCAGGCCATGGTTCCATCAGTCTGGTTCAGCAGCTATTTATCAGGAGACCAGTATGTGCCAGGAGCTGGGGGCCTAGCATAGAACATAGATAGGCTGGGCAGGGTGATAAATGATCATGTGTGATGGGGATAGCACAGGTCAGAGTCCACTAACCCAGCTTGGAGGTCAGGCCATGATTCTGGGTGGGCAAGGAGGAGTTCTCAGCCGGGAGGGCAAGGATGAAAAGGAAGTAGGGAAGATAAGGCAGAGGGGTATTTTAGGCAGAACATGCAAAGGGCTGGAAGTGAGATACAGAGAAAGCTCAGCACCTTCCAGGCATTTCAGGCAAACGGTTCTGAGATGGGTAGTGGAGAGAAGAGGTGAGTAGAATGGAGGGGACAGTCAGAGCTGAGAGTTCCTGGGAGGGTCCCCTGAGGGTGGGGTGGGGTAGAGGCTGTTGAATACAGGTACAGTCCTGCTTCCCAACCCTACCCCTCCCTGCCGCCACCAGGCATCATGGTGCAGGAATTTGTGTGTCTGGGAGCGCTAGACACATATCTGCGCAAGTGTGGCCATCTGGTATCAGCCACCTGGAAGCTGCAGGTGATCAAACAGCTGGCCTATGCCCTCAACTATTTGGTGAGTGCCCCTCTGCCTGCTGCACATGCATTCACAGAGGGGGAACTAAGAGTGGGCTCTATAGTGTGGATAGGAATTTGGCAAGGGTGCAAGGGGGTGGCATTTTAGACTGAGGGAAAAGTGTAGGTATAGATAGGCTCAGAGATGTAAGAGCAGAAGGGTCATCTGTGGATCTTGGGGCAAGTAGTGAGCAGTGAGGCGGGGCAGGGTAGGAAAGCTTCCCAGAAGAGGGAACATTGAAGGTTGAATAGGAGTTCATCAAGAGGAGAAAGGAAGGATGGAATGTCAGGCTGACGGACCAGCCTGGATAAAGTCCTGCGGCTTAGGCGTGTTGCATGTCCCAGGAGGCATCAGGCAATTCAGTTGGCAGAAGGCTGTGGTGGGGCCTGGATGAGAGAAGCTCCTGGGAAGAGTGAACACCAGCTGGATCTCAAAGGGCTTTGAAGGCCCAGATAAGATCTTTGACTTTAACCTGAAGGCAATGAGGAATCATGGGATGGGGAGCAGTGTTTGAGAAGGGGAGGAACACAGGTCAGCATCAGGGATGGATTAGAGGAGGTAAGACAGGCTGCCAGTAGTCTGGGGAAGAGGCTGGAATATGGTCTGAGCAGTACCAGGTGGACTTTGAAGTACATGTAGGAGTTCACCAGTCAGAAGAATTATTCATCAAACCCTCACTGGCATTTCCCTATGCCTGCTTCATTTAGGAAGACAAAGGTCTCCCCCATGGCAATGTATCAGCCCGGAAGGTGCTCCTGGCTCGGGAGGGGGCTGATGGGAACCCACCTTTCATCAAACTTAGTGACCCTGGGGTCAGCCCCACTGTGCTAAGCCTGGAAAGTAAGTACCGAGACAGGAGGGAGGGTTCTAGAGGGGCAAGGAAGTGGATCCCTGACCCCATCCCCACCTCCAGTGCTCACTGACAGGATCCCTTGGGTGGCCCCCGAGTGTCTTCATGAGGCCCGGACACTTGGCTTGGAAGCTGACAAGTGGGGCTTTGGTGCCACCGTCTGGGAGGTGTTCAGCGGTGTCACGATGCCCATCAGCACCCTGGACCCCGCTAAGGTCAGAGCACTGGCATTGGCCTCTAGAGACCCCATTTGACAGAAAGGTGGACTAAAAGTACTGCTTGGGGAGGATGGTTGCTCTGGGGAACCTTCTAAGGGTGAACTGGGGGTGACCAGCCCCTCCTCCCATCCTCAGAAGCTCCAGTTTTACGAGGAACGTCAACAGCTGCCTGCCCCCAAGTGGGTGGAGCTGGCCCTGCTCATCGAACAATGCATGGCTTACGAGCCAGGCCAGAGGCCCTCCTTCCGCGCGGTCATCCGGGACCTGAACAGCCTCATCACATCAGGTGCCCACTGGGCCAGGCAGGGTGGGCGGGGCCAGCATGTCTTATTGGGCCCAGGGAGAGAAAAGCAAGGTTTGTATGCAGAGCCCACCTAGTGCACCTAATCAAGTTAGAGCGGTTGGTGACTGTAGCAGTCAGCAAGCGCCTCAACAGCTGCTATAACAAACATGCCCCTCAGCTCATGGATGAACATGATGGGTGGTTAATTCTCATTTGATGTAAGTGTCCTGGTCAAGAGACACCTCTCCCTTTGTGGCTCCACTCATCCGATGGCCTCAATCCCCTGCTGGATCCTCTGCAGATGAGAGAGAGCGTGGAGGAGGGTCCCACACTAGGTTTCCACAGGCCAGATCTAAAGGAGCACCCAGCAGATCTCCCCCATCAGCCTGAGCTCAGTCATGTGACCACACCTCACAGCAGTAGAATCTGGAAAATAATACCTTTCTGTCTCCTTAGCCATGTACAGTTGCACAGGGTGTGCACTGCATAAGGGGACTGCCTTTGCTCAGGGGGCACCTTTTTTCAGCCCCCACAAAGTACCCTTTGGCTTGTAGTGGCCCTGCCAGAGTGCACAGAGAGGGTAGGCATGCAGATTGAGGTCAAATAGCAAATCAGCTTAGGAGTGGGGGCCCAGGGCCCAGAGTGCTGGTCACTCATTGCCTGTGCCCCCAGATTATGAGCTCCTCTCTGACCCCACACCTGGTGCCCTGGCGCCCCGTGATGGGCTGTGGAATGGTGCCCAGCTCTATGCCTGCCAGGACCCTACCATCTTTGAGGAGAGACACCTCAAGTACATCTCACAGCTGGGCAAGGTGAGGTGGGTGGGCCTGGATGGGCCTTGGTGGGTGGGGTTGCCCTTATGCATGTGAACAACAGCCTCACTCTCCCCCCAGGGCAACTTTGGTAGCGTAGAACTGTGCCGCTATGACCCACTGGGCGACAACACAGGCGCCCTGGTGGCCGTGAAGCAGCTGCAGCACAGTGGGCCAGACCAGCAGAGGGATTTCCAGCGCGAGATCCACATCCTCAAGGCTCTCCACAGTGACTTCATTGTCAAGTACCGCGGAGTCAGCTACGGCCCAGGTGAGGTCTGGGAACACCAGCAGGGCACCAGCGACGCCATCGCTTACCCAGAATCAGACCGGTCACAGGTTCGAATTCCAGCTCTAAACTTTAGCAGCTGGGCAACCTTGAGGAGGCGATTTAACCTCTCTGAGCGTCAAGAGCCACCTGAAAAATGGGTGTTTATGAGGTTTAAATGCATCAATGTGTATTGCAGGAAGTACTCAAGAGAGTAGCGACAAGCGTCATAGTTGCAGTTCCCATTTTATAGAGAGTAATGCTGAGGCCGGGAGGGACCCAAGATCGCACTCTGAACGGGAAGGAGGAATGGGAAAGGGGAGTAGACAAAATGGGCCCGTCGATGACCCCTTCCCGCCTTCCCCGCCTGCCCTAGGCCGCCAGAGCTTGCGGCTGGTCATGGAGTACCTGCCCTGCGGCTGTTTGCGAGACTTCCTGCAGCGGCACCGCGCGCGCCTGAACGCCGGCCGTCTGCTTCTCTACGCCTCCCAGATCTGCAAGGTGCGGGCGCCCTGGGCACCTGCGGGGACTGAGCCGGCCCTGCCCGGGCGGGGTCTGCGTGTAGGCGCTGGTTGAAGTTTGGGGGCCAGGTCAGGTTGGGGGCCGGGGGTTGAGTCCAGGTGGGGTGACGGGTAGGGTTAGGCTTAGGGTCTGGGCTGGGCTTAGGGGTTGGATTTTAGGTTAGGCTGGTTGCCCCTGCGGGCCCATCCTAGGGTCCCGCCCCATATCCATCCGCCCGCAGGGCATGGAGTACCTGGGCTCCCGTCGCTGCGTGCACCGCGACCTGGCAGCGCGTAACCTCCTGGTGGAGAGTGAGACGCACGTCAAAATCGCCGACTTCGGCCTCGCCAAGCTGCTGCCGCTGGACAAAGACTACTATGTGGTTCGAGAGCCGGGCCAGAGCCCCATCTTCTGGTGGGGAGCCCACCCTGCTCGGGCCCTCCGCACAGGCCTCGCCCCCTCCCCCACAGCCCCGGCCCCCCGCAGGGTTGTAGAATCCCTCACCCCACAATCAGGTAAACTGAGCCCCCGGAGATGGGAATGACCCCCCAGCCCCCACCTTCCGCCGTCCTTCGCCCAGGGCTGCCCCCGTTCCGTCCTGTGCCCCACCTCGCACCTCAAGACGGCCCTGTCCGCACCCCCCAGGTACGCCCCGGAGTCCCTCTCGGACAATATTTTCTCGCGCCAGTCGGATGTCTGGAGCTTCGGGGTCGTCCTGTACGAGCTCTTCACTTACGGCGACAAGAGCTGCAGCCCCTCCGCCGTGAGTCGGCGCCCCGGATCCCCAGCACCCTTCTCCCAACCCCTTCTTGGCCAATCCCGCTGCTTGTGCCTGCGTCCCGCGTTTGTTCAGCGTCACCTTATCACAGTGGGAGGACCTCTCTTCACTCTGGCGGACCATCCCCGCAGGCAGCCCCCTCCCCGCTCCAACACAGGGGCCCCTCCCCCACCACTGGCGCTCCCCGTGTCCCCAGGAGTTCCTGCGCATGATGGGCTGTGACCGAGACGTCCCTGCTCTCTGCCGCCTCCTGGAGCTGCTGGCTGAGGGCTTGAGACTGCCGGCGCCTCCTGCCTGCCCTGCTGAGGTGAGCGCTGGAGGGCCTGCCTCAGTTGCCCACTCTGCAAATAGGCCTGGGGTCTGGGGCCAGCCAGCTGGCCCCTCTGGGTCTCCACTGCACGGGGCAGGGGCACGAGGTTAAAGGGGATCCTGGCCTCCCCTTTGCTGCTCTCGCTGGCAAGTCACAAACATTCAGAGCCTCCAGTTTATCTGCAAAATAGGAATAACAGCGCCTTACAGA